TTCTTTAGATTTGTATAGTGTGGTAAGTCATGTTTACCAAATTATATAAAACAACCAAGATTTCCTATTGATTACGAAAACAATCCAATCAACATCCACACAAAAAAAACATAATTTTCAACGAGAAGATAGAACATATTTGAATATGACTACAGTCATATTCAACAATAGTCATATTCGAACATGACTATAGTCATGTTTAATTTGAAACTCTATGTTCAGATCTGGAGAAACATAAATAAATAAAACGTATCTCTTTTCCCTTTCAATTTCAATTGAAACCTGAAATCAAACTCATTTGCAGAAAATAAAAGCAAAAATAGACGAAATTAAACACATGACCAATAGCCACCATTTATTCCGAAGTTTCCTCATCGGATATGGAATAATACTCATACTGCATATTTTTAACAACAAAAAATAACTAATTAACAACAATTGGAATATCAAAATCAAACACAAATGACCCCAACAAATTTTAAATTGAAAATCTCTAAAAGTGAAGACTAAAAAATGAAAAAAAAAAAATCTCACCAAATTGTGATACTTTCATAATTTATATCCGGAGTTAAGAAGCACCAAATTCAATCTCCTCCATACAGTATATAAAAATATACACTCTGAATATTCTATCCAAATTTAGGCCACATCCAACGGTTCAATTGCACGAAAAACGCGTCCAATCTAGATGCCCTGAAATATTCACTAACAAAAACCAACAGCGAGTTTTAAGATCCGATCTATATTTAGAGATGTCTGATTCCAATCTTCACCGTTTGTAAGTTATATTTATGTGTTGAGAATCTCGTGTAAAAATATCAACCCGATCCGACGGTTAGATCTTCCGATCTGGCCTCTGCACGAAAATTGTTGCATCTCAAAAACTTGATTTTTCTCCTCTTTTTTCGTTCGCTCGTCGGAGGGAGAATCGAAACCCGGCGCCGGCGCCGTGTGCGGTACATTGGCGAGTGGTGGAGGATTATGGGTCTGAAGAAGAAAAAAAGAGAGAGAAGTTCCGTGAGAAAGAGAGAGAGAGAGAGAGAGAGAGAGAATGAAAGAGAGATATATGGAGAGAATTAATGTAATCCTACAATCACGTGAGACGGTTATGGAAAATAAATTGCAATTATTTTAAAAACTACTGATAAGGGTAGTTTCGTCTTATCACAGTTGTTGAGGGGGGTTTCACTAATTAAAATTGGACTTTGGGTGTGGAAAAGTCTTAAAAGTCAAATGGGTTTAACTCATATTATTTATGGTTTGAGGGGGGTTTTGCATATTTCCTCATTACAATAAATACCATTTAAATGATAAATGTGATTAAAACATTTAGCACGTGTGAAAATAAAATAAAAAATGGAAAATAAGGGCTATTAGTGAGAATCCCTTCTACCTAATTTTTTTAAGGGGCAATTTGCTATAGGTCCTTCTATATTATAATTTATGTGTAGATTGCAAGTCAAATTTCATGTTTTAATAAATGAATAATATTTATTGTGGCGAAAATATTAAAATCAAATCAAATCTCAAAAACTCTCTCTATCAAAACAAATTCCAAAAAATCTACCTTCCAAATATTAACTAAAAATTTAAATTAATTCATAAAAAAAATATACAATTTATTTTACAAACTCGTACTCTAAAAACCCTATCGATGACTCCGGGAACTGCGACGCTTCCTGCGACGCCTATGACTCTGTGGACTGCAAATAGCAAATTGAAAATTAAATTTTATATTATTGAATTGCAAACAACAAAATACCTATGATTTCGTCAAATGCAAACAGCAAACTGAAAAAATAATAAAAAAAATATGCATTATTAAATTGCAAACAATAAATTACCTATAACTTCGCCGAATGCAAACAACAAACTAAAAAAAATCATTAACATAAAAAACACCAACAAAAAAATTGTTTATGGAACACGTTGCAAACAGCAAAAACATTAAACAAAGTGTTTGTAAAATGTAACTTAAGACATACCTTGCAAATTTTAAACTAGAGGAATCGATTCTCAACACTAAACGCAATTCTTCAAACAACAACCGAAGTTAAAGCAACCTGCAAACGGAAATTGCTAACAACAAACGATGTGAATGTTCTACATACGAGAGACACAATGTGAATTTTGGATTTCTGAATTTTTTTTAGGAGAGAGGAGGGAATGTTTGTTGTCCTCTTTAATGCTTTCACCAAGAAATCATCTCATAATCTAAAAAACATTCCTTTTTTTTTTCCCTTCGTTTCAATATTTTTTCATAAAAAAAATAAAGAAAAAGAAAAAAAAAGGAACAGAGAAGAATGAGAGAGAGAGAGTGGCGTGAGATACAGAGGGAGAGAGATGATTGATTAAATATAGGGTGAGAGAAACGTGAGATTGGAGAGAAAAGATATATAAGATTTATTTTCTTATTAATTGACGGTATTTATGTCTATATACTAATTATTTTATTTTATTTATATTGTTTTTTTGGGTCAAAGGACTTGTGCTTATATTCATCTAACAATTAGGATTTTTACCTGCATAAGTCCAAAGTAAGGGGTGTCTAGCAAATTTCCCCTTTTTTAATAGGGATGGCTCTAGCCCCTTTTCACTTATTAGTGATAGACTCACTTCCACCTTTATCCCAAATTTAGCCTCCCCACTATTCACTCCACATTATCCACTACTTTCATTTTTTTATATATATATAATTTAAATTTTTGTTTTTCTAATTATTTTATTTAAAAACTAACAATAATAGCTTTGAAAAAAAATTATTTTATTTTTTTATTTAAAAAATATTTTAATTTTTTTTAATTTCAGGTTTTTTTGTACGGAATCAACTATAAAAATTCCGAAACCAACTATTATATTTTCGAAATCGACTATAATTTCAATTTTTTTTTTTTTCATTTTTCTTGATTTTCATTTTCAGTTATTTGTGGCATTTTTTTCCAGAAATAGCTATTTTTTGCCCTTTTTTTTAATGAAAAACAACTATAAATTGTAAACAACTATTAGAAAACAACTATTTTTTTCAACAGTTCGTTTTTTCGCCATAATGAACTATTAGAAAACCGTAAAACAACTATATAAATATAGTGGTTTACAAATAGCAAATTTACAAAAAATAAAAACAACTAGAAATTAACGAAATCAACTATAAAAGAAACGAAAATCAACTATAAATTGTATAATTCAACACTGAATATCGAAAACAATTATAAAACTATCGAAAAGTATTCTAAAATTATCGACAACAACTACAAAAAAAAAATAGCAAAACCCGAAATCAACTACAAACTGTATAAATCAACACAGAATACCGAAAACAATTATAAAACTATCAAAATGTACTGTAAAATTATCGACAAGTACTACAAAAAAAAATAGCAAAACCCGAAATCAACTACAAAGTAATGAAAACAAGTATATCGTTGTAAAAGAGGTGGGAAAGACAAATCAAATCAAACCAAACTAATCTAAATCAAACTTAAAACAGTAAATGCGATCAATCTTCACAAAATGAGATGTTTTCAACTATTTTTTTTTTAACATATTAGATCCAGACCCCAGATCTACTCATATGAAATTATCCATACATTAATTGATTTGTTGAGAATTAATCCAAGTTGGATCCTGAAAATCTGAGATGCAAATTATTCTAGAGCCCGTGTTCCACCTTAACGGCTACAATTCTACTCTGAGCGGCGGTGTGCGCGGAGGTGGAGGGGACAAATGGCGGTGGCGGTGGCGGGGGTTAACGCTCAAAATAAAAGAGAAAGATAATATATGGAAAAAATTGCAGCAGATAGTGGAGGAAGATGAGATCTGAAAGTACCATGGTAGCGACCTTGACGAAGTGAGGCGGCGTTGGCAGAGCGACGGCGGCGACACGGAGGTGGAGAGGCGAAGTTGTGGAAAGAAGAGAAAATAGGAGAAGTGATGATGAACTTATGTGGTTAGGGTTTTAGGTAGAAAAAATAAATTATATATCATTGATAGAAGGGTAAATTAGAGAGATTACTTTAAAATTTAATAAATATTTATTTGATTAACTAATTAAGGGAGATCTCACTAATATTGATAATGAGATTATATCCACCTTAATATAGATAAATGAATTGGTGGGTTTTCACTAATTATCCCAATAAATAATCTTAGTATAATCCTTTCATGTTATACTTTAGTGACATAATAGATAGCGCATAAAAGTGAAGAAACATAAAATATAATATAAGGATAGAATAGATTAAACTTCCAACACCCTAGTCGGAAACCATGGAAAATTCTGGATTCGCCCTGACCGACAATTCATAAGTAGTGGTAACTCTAGATTTGTCGTTATTTCAGCACTTTACCATTTGATAATACAGTAGAACCTCGATAAATTAATAACCTCGTTTAAATAATATATTTTTCCGGTCCCGACTCGAAGGCGACGTGTTAAAAAATATTTCATTAAATTAACATTTTGCTAAATTATTAGAATTTGAGTGGGTCCTACTGTATTAATTTATAAAGGTTTAACTGTAGTTCGAGAGATGGTAAACGGAAAGTAATAAGAGGATGTTCTTGATGGATGAACACGTATAAGGCCTCGTTTTATTAGGGAGACTTCACTATTTTTAACTAAATATTTGGATTTTATTGGATGCTTGATATCCCAATAACTTGTCAGGTCGACCCGCAAATATTATGCTATTATGACTTATCTTACTTTATCTTGTCAGAAAGTTTTTTTGTTTAATGGCCATGATTCGGATAAAATAATTGAGTTTATTTTTGATTATTTATTCTTATCTCGAGTCATTCTAGTATTGAGAAATATATCATATCATGTTCCGAATATTTATCATCTAGTTTGTTCATTCACATTTGATGATGCTAAAGTTTAGAGTGATATTGGTCTTCGATATTGGGCTCGTAGCCCAGTAGGTAAAGAAATTGTAGGCCCATTGGGTTGGCCCAATTAGGCATATCAACATTAAAAGGGGATGTTTCTAAGTTCTGGCTACCAAAACATATTCTTTAGACCTAACATAAAATTGTAATACATGAATTTGAACGAGAATTTGAGGTAAAATTTCTTTATCACAAAACTGAACTCTCAAAAGGATTTTAGAACAGACTTTACAAGTATCGATCGAATGTGTTTCTATCAGGAGGTCCAATATCCAAACATAACCTCCAATTTGTATAGTATACTGTAAACTAGCATATAGGCATAAAAATAGACCTACATATAGTTCCTCGTGTAACTCCATTTCGGTGCTTCTCCCATCATGAAATGGATCGCTTTCCTAAAACAGCTGTATATTTGTCAACAATAAATAAGATTCACGTTATAACTAAAGGATATATATATATACATATATACACATATAAAATATATATACACACGCGTACATATTTGAATTACAAACCTGGTGCAATGTACTCAAGATCGTCAAGCCTGACAATATCCCCCGTCTCGATGCTGTCCGCCAATACAGACTCAATCTTATTATGTTCTGTACTTTTATGAAGATTGAGGGACTTTGATCTGAACTGGCAATAAGCAGATTGCAGTTGAGCATGAATATCTTCTATTCTCCCACAATGCTCGTCTTTACGGTCCATTTCAATAACAGTCTGCATGCAAAAAAAAATCACGTTTTGTAGAAACCATAAAGGGGAACATAGTAACCCGAAAAGAAAAAAAATTAATTGTAAAAATCAGATTGATTTGTTACCTGTGCAGGTGTTTTTCGAAAGACGGGGTGAAATCTTTGCCTGCAATACTCATGGAAAAGGAGTGTAAAAATGATTAGCGGAAAAGTGAAGCCCGAGGCAATAGGTGATTCCTTGAGTCCAAAAACCCCCAGAGCTATTATTTGTGTCATCACCAAAGAGAATATTGTTGCGTTGTGCACAATAGGCCAATATAGCCCCCCACTGTCGTACTCCGTAACATATACGTTGAGTATCTGCAGCATAAATTTTAGATATTAAATTAAATGATTCCCAAGTGCAAACATTAGAAGCAGATTCGTTTATTGCAAAACAAGAGAACCAAATAGGGGTTAAAGATATTCGATTTCCCCGAGTCTGATTTTGAGATGAAAAAAAAGCTATAGCAATTACATAAAATAGTCAATGGTCAATGGAATTAAAGCCCAGTGAGGACTAAACATAAATCAGGAAGCAGGGTACGGATGCATGAACCCCTGAATTCCGTATTATATCAATCCCACTGCAGGGAGAGAGCGAGGAAAAGAAATAAAGAATTAAACGAAATGCATGCAATAAAATTGTTAATTTGAGCATCTGCAAAAACAACGATAGTGAATTTTGACACGCCGGGATTGCAATGTTTCACATTAATGATGCAATAAATAACACAGTAAGTTGTATACTTTTGCTAACACTATAACAAGTTTCAAAATAGTCTCAAGAACTAATTCGATTATTTTTCGCAAGCAAACAAACCAAATCCAGAAGATAAATAATCCTAATCAAGTAACTTAACTGGTCAGCAGAGCAGGATACTCTAAGATGAATAGAACAGAGTACTAAAAACTAAATGAGAGTGAATGAAAACATCCATAGTTTTCAACAACAGCTTAACTTGTTAAAGAAATGAAAACAACTGAAAAAATGGAGTAGGTTTGTTATGAGAATCCGAACCTGATTGCGATAGACTAGAAAGGCAAGGACAAAGTAAACGAGGAGGAAGGGCAATATCAGAGGCGCTAAGATTGAACAAGTGAAGCCCAGAAGCCCAAACAGAAGAACCCTTGGAACTTCTGTGTGGTATGGAAAAGTATATGTGCCGTAAGATGAATCATCTTTGTTTCGGAGAATGAATCTATAAAACAAATTGCAGATAAGGGGAAATGGCTGAATGAGTTCAACGGACAAGCTTGCCCACCCTGATGTTAGGACATACGTCATAAAGAACGTGGCCTGCAAAATATAGCAGCAACTTAAGTGAGATTGAAAAAAAAATAAAAAAATAAAGTACGATGCTATATGTTTATGCTCTATTAGGACAAATGGAAGAAGATTTAAGAAGAAGAAATCACAGTTGTTGGCACTGCTTTGGCGAGCAAGTTTGGTATATGTTTTGCATCTCCCAACTTTGTGATTGAAACTTGGTAATGTTCAATAGCAGCATCTGTTAGAATATTTGCAAAGAAAACATTCCAGATGACGAAATATACAACTTTAACGCATGTACTTCTTTTTCGTCCGCTACGAGATATGGCTCCCTCCAATGTAGAGAATAACATCATTACAGGCGGGACGATATATAGAAAGAGAGTGATTACAACACTAGGTAGATATCCAGTGATTAGCTGTTCCATAACTTTCCTGGAAAAAGAAAACAACAAGAGAATTGTTTTGATCAATCTTGAGTCCTCTTAAAATGAAGCAAATATATGATAAGCATTCGGTAGATTCTTTCTTATTTAAACATGGAATCTAACATAGATTTATTCGCAACAAAAATTCCGTTGATATACTAAATAATCATGAACTTTTGACATTGGAAGATAATACTCGGCTGCCTTGAACCCTTCTACTTATATTTCTATCACAAGTATCACAACCTCTTAGTTTGGAACAACAAAGTGATGCAATATCCGCTTCCAAATGTAAATAAAATAGAAACAACTGAAACGCTGCAATTTAGATTTTATTACCTCTTTGTAATAGCCTTCAGAAATGGAAACATCTTTGTTAGCTTATCAAGATGAACAAGACTTTGTGTAAACACCACGGGAACAAGGAAGAAAATAACAAAAAATATAGAGGCCACAACAACAGCAATCTTGCGAATCCAGAGCAGTCGGTACGGCACACATAAGTTTGACCAATAGATATCACATGGTTCTGGAGCAGAGTCAGTGACCCACGACATGGGATTCGGTGACTGAAGAGCCTCTGAAGCAACCAACGCTGCATAACGAGTCCTGAAGAAAACCAAAGCCGCTCCACACTCCTGCAACAATGATGATTAGCATGTTAAGAGAATACAAGGGGGGTAATCGGCAATCTATAACTAAATTGCAAGTTACTAACATGAGATAATTCCTAAAATTTATTCATGACATGCACACTAAGACCATTGTAGCTATTCAACTGATTTAGATGTTCGAGTAAATATTAACTACTGCCTCCTTCCTATTTTGATTGTCTTTTTAGGCTAGTGCACCCTAATTAAGAAAACTAATAAATGTGCATAGATTCTATTACAAAACTAAGAAAACCTCTCTCATCAATTGTTTCACCCTTGATTATCTCTTAATAAATTAAGACTAATAAGGGGAAACTGAGAAAAGTACAATAAATTCTTCATTGGAAATATAAAGTGAAAAATTATTTGAAATAATTTGTTTTTTCTCTAAAAAGACAATTAAAATGGGAAGGAAGGAGTAATAAAGTTTATTAAGACCTTTTTCCTCAAATCCGAACCATCAAAGCAGCTTTCCCTTCTGGTAATTTTAGGCTCATCAGTGAGGATCTTAAAAGATGTTGCTGCAGTGCCTCCACAAAAACCACATCTCATAAATCGTGGTACGCAGTGTTTGTCCATGTGGGGAGACCTGATCATCTTATACATCTTTTCAGCATCACTCTGCAAATAATAGAAAGAACAGAAAATAAGTGAACGTAACACAAGACAAAATAAGTTTGTCAATAACAGCTTAGAATTGATGAGAAAACCAGGCATAATTTTGAACTAATGTTCAAAAATTGAGCATTTTAAGGTCTAATATGCTGAAGTATAATTTATCCTATAGTATCATCTTCCCACAATTCCTCATTCATCATCTGAACTTGTTTTGTATATCACAACCAATAGGATGTTGCAGACCCTATTTAACATCAAAATAGATGAAGAAAAATGTAATTTAAGGTTTACAAATATAATAAGAAATTGTCGTAAAAGAATGAATAAAAAGTAATGACACTAATATGATCATCTCTCATTAGAAGATTGAACTATATCGTATTGGGGAAATAAGAAATAGTACATCTATCTATTATCATGCAACATTACATCGATTTAGATGCTCACCATCAATTTCTGGACAGCTCCAGACTGATAAACCATTTGGTTTGATAAATAGCTTGATGCATAGTAATCCGTAAAGAATTTCGTCAGAGTGTCATTATATGATTCTTCCTCAACCCAAGGAATTGCACGAACAATTACTGTAAAGTGACTTGGGTAGCAATGAGATGCAGTGATATGCGTCAATCTCATTTTCGTGATGTTCTTGTACTCCTAAAGACAAGTGGACAAAAAATTATATAAAACTAAAAAGAATTCACATCATTGATATATCGCAACCAAAAGTAAAACAGTGCCAAGTTAGTCCTTACAAAGTAAAGGAGGAGACAAGAGCAGCACGTTATGATGTATAATGCAAGACAATGAGCCCAAAGCCTGCCAAAGAGAAAATTAAAAGACAAACATCGGAGAAAAACAAGTCAAGCTCTAGAGGTGGAGAAAATGGAAAGGAAAAAACTTAAACTTATATTAATTAAGAAATTGATATGTAAATGCTAGCAACATCCTTTTCAACAAATCCATATAATTAATATTGAAAGATATTTTGAGTTAAGTCCCTCTCCATGCATTTCTTTAAATTTAAAATCTCATGTCTTCAGACAAGTTCAGGCTTACAAATTAAGAGATGCACATAGAAATTGATAATGGAGCAGGAACTTAATCATGATGATTGATAACAAACATATATATTCTCCTCACCATCTTGATCCTTCCATGACGTTCCCAATGGTGAAAACGGTCAATTGTTCCTCTGGAATATGCTTGTGCTCCATATCTTTCCCAAAATAATTAAGTGGGAGAACAAGAAACAAGCATATGACAGCAGCAACAGTGAATACTCTGATACTGCACATGGTAAAGCAACAATGAACTATTAGCAAAATCCAAAGAAGCCAAAAAAAAGGTTAAACTAATCACGAGCAAAGTTCGGTTGCATAAGGAAGAATTATACAATGACACTGTGACCAAATTCTTTACGTACTACTAGTACATTAATTTCTATTTTGTTTTAGAAACAAACACATTCTGGTGACCATTTCAGATCAACAATCACGATGAAGTGATTGAGCGGTTCCATCAGTTAATTTTTTTAACTGAATAAACAAAAAGATAAAAGTAAAAAAATAAGGTTAACTGGTAAGTAACAGCTGATGATCCAGGACCAGAAACCAGAAACCGGACGCTAACAGTTGGATTATATTACTCAGAACCCAATACCTTCAGATTAATGTTTGATTCTTTCCATGATTTTCGTTGTAAAAGGGAAAAAAGTTGAGAAACAATTGTTTCCATGATGAACAGCTAAGGAACTATATCTGCCTTCAAGTTCGAAAAGGGTTCTTGACAACAAAATATTTATCGACTGCTATGATGTGCTGCGGCAATATATAGGTGTAGCAACACAGTCAAAAAGAACACACGACGGGTTACATAAGGCACTTATAGAATGCCGGAATGCTATCAGGATAGGCCAAAAGTTTTTACGTGACAATATTCTTATGAGTTTACCAAGATCCATCTAGAATCAACAACACCAAGAAATACGTAGCCTACATACAAATTTCTAAGTATCCCATTCCTGAAAAAATGAGAGTTGAAATAATTTGATAATTAATATAGCAAATTTATCACCTGAAGACAACTGCACGCAGAAATACGACAGCATCGACACCCCCATTGACGTACAATTCGTCTTCGGAGGCTTCCCATGCCTTCACTATCCAACTAGCAGAAGGAATAAGCCTCCCAAACCAAAACGGATCATTACGTTTTGAGTTAACTTGGGCAAGCTTCTGTCCAAAGTAAACGCTCACTAGATTCGGTTGTTTCCTTAGAACAGAGTAGAGAGAAAAAAGCACCCCACATACGACAGTATTGATACCAGCAGAGGTCAAGAGAGCAGATACGTTCATCTCTATTCCACTGTATCAACAAATCTATTATATATCATTACACCAATGTGAGACAAAGGATCTTCATAGTATACTGCATGAACTTGTGCCGAAGAAGCCAATGTTTTCTCCCCAAACTTGTTACACTGCAAAAAGAAAGTAGAATTCTCAAATTCATTATTCTGAAAAAAAAATCCCGAGTAATAATTTTTCATGGTTAAAACATTTGATGTAACTATAACTAAAACAGGGAATGTTATCAATCCCACTGAACCCATACAAAATCAATTATATGGTAGAAAATCCTTTAAAATGACATCAAAACTAACTAACACGTAGCCCCCAAATTCAGCATTTTAATTTAATTGCAGAATCAAAAGAGATAGAGCTGTTCATATCATGAACAATTCATAAGTGATTTACCGATTCTAATCATACGATTGCGGAGCTCATACACAAGTTACTCTGATGATACGAAGAATTCCGGACAATTCAAATTCATTTATCGGAACAAAAGAAACTCACCTTGGTCCAGTCAAATCAAAAAACGAGATCAACCTAAGCAAACTGCAAACCGAGTAACTTTGATTAAAAGGAAACAGAAACAAGGATGAACCCTAATTTTCTTAAAATTGAAATTGATTTTGGGGCTGTAGAATTTCCCTAACAATTAATTCAGATTTAAGGATTCATATCCACGCGTAAACTGAAACAGAAGGAGCCAGCGAGCAAGAGAGAGAGATAGAAAGAGAGAGAAAATCGGGCGGGATGCGTCGGTACACGAGCGAGAATATAAAAATGTTTTCTTTAACTTTATATATATATTTAAATAATGAATGCCGTGCGATGCGCCACGTGGAGGAATATTAATGGTGGACATAGTGCCTATAAATCGTCCTAACAGTCGGTGTCCCCAGAAGGTACGTGAGAGGGCGTGTTTGGCAATCTAATTCTAATTCTAATTACCACTTTAAATACATTTTAATTATTAATTTACACCTTTAAATTATACTACTCCTCCCCACATTAAATATCAGTTTAAACTATGAAAATCAGCAGACTTTAGTTTTAAAATGAGAGCCGTCGATGAAAAAATGTAGAGAAAAAGACGGGAAAAAATTGCCCCAGGGTTTACAGATCCACGTTACTTTTATTAATAGAGCAAATTACCGCCACCCTGAATTATGGTAAAATTATGAAAAATCCCCTTATGTTTGAGTAATTACAGTCATCCTCATTAACTATGTATTATCTTACGAAAATACCTCTCTAGAGGCAAATTTAGGGATTTTAAATCGGTGAAATTGAACCGAAATTTCGTTACACCACATTTCATACCGTTTACCGAACTGAATATTCGATTTGGTTCGGTAAATAATCGAATTACATAAATTTTATGTAAACATATTTAAAATAAGGGGGTGGCTGTAATTACCCAAATACGATGAGTTTTTCGTAATTTGGTCATACCTTAGGGGTTGGCGTAATTTGCCCTTATTAATAAGATATCCCATAAATTTAAATGAATCAACAGAAACATCCTCATATTTTATTGTTCATTTCTTTTTTATTTTGAGTGTAATATAATATTTTTTATTTAATAAAAACAACAATCTTTTTTAGATATACCCTTAACATGTATATCATTAAATCAACTCGTAAATATCAAGTAGGACGGCGACGACTTCTTCGACCCTACACCCAATGATAAACATTGGGTGGGTCTTTTGCTGCCGCGTATCTTTTTTTTTTGTATTTTATAATATATTCTCCCCTATAATTTACTTTTATTATCACCGGGTGTAGGGTCGAAGGAGCCGGACGACATCAGCCTCAAAGTGGCCTAGCTAATTGGTAAATATAAACATAAATATGATGTAAAAGCGACAACAAAAATACAAAAGGACCTCCAATAAAAATGTAAGGATGAAAGGCCAAAACAACGAGCTCTACAATAAAGTCAACACACAACAGTGGAAGATGAGGAACGTTGCCCCACACAACAGCCAGAGGCAACTCAGAGTTGGTACATACGATCATATAGTTATTGTTACGTAGAGGTTGTATTTATTTATTGTACGAGACTTTTGAAAATATATTTTACCTTGTATCGCAAATACTTAAGGAACTTGTGCGCATTGAAACTATTTAATGGGTTTGAATGAAATATGTCCTGAAATATGTGCATTTAAATGCAATTGAACCTCACTAAATTAATAAACTTGTTTAAATAATATATTTTTTCCATCCCGACTTGAGACCCGTGCTAAATCAATAATTCACTAGATTTTGTAAGATAATGCATGTTTTAAAATTCTTATAGTAGACTCCATCTAATATATAAATTAATATTAATATATAGAAATATCTCTTGATCAAACATAGTAAGTTACAATTATATATATGATTCGATTTTCTTTTATTTCTTGTTGAAGTTGACAACATCACATTAAAATTCATCCCTCACTTTTCTTAATATGGTAATAACTTTCGGTATATTTTTATCATATAGCTCAACAATAAATTGTTCATTAACTGTGTTGCTCTAAAAGCTTCAATCCTAGAAACAGGCTTGATAGTATCATTTTCAACTACATCGCCTTTATCAGTTCACATGATACTCTCAATTATTTATTTGTTAGTAAACATCACTGAAGTAAAGTAGTTTTCTTTAAAGTACTTTAAGATACATCCAACATCCATTTTGTTATGACAATTCAACTCATTGATTAGATTGTGCAATTCTTAGGTGATTTCACCATCTAAGAGTTCGTCCGTATTGTTTTTTTAAATGTTTATTTAAAATAATAATTATAAAAATTAATAGTAAAAATTTCAAAAATTAATAAGTTATTAATTAATATATAAATTAATAATTACCAATTATAGATAATTTAATATCTCACTAACTTAATAGGTTTGCCGGTCCCAACGGTATTAATTCATATATGCTTAACTATATTTGGAATTGTAAAACATGAAAAACAATTCTCAAATAACAATATAATAAGCCGCCATTATTTATAAATAGAGTTGACTGCAAATAATGCTTGGTTGTCATAAACTAAGCAAGATATTTTCTGCAAATATGTACAATTGGACAACTAAAAATCTTCAAGTTGGGATCAACTATCGAATCTCAATTAAAATATACTAAGAAAAATTAGGTGTAATTGCACTAAAGTATTAGGAATACTCAAATTAATATCCATTACAAAAGATGTCAAATATATTTATATAAATTGAGAAATAAATAAATAATTAACTAACACGCCATGTAACAGCATGGTGTTCACCAGATTAATTGGGGCCACTTGAGATATCTTGAAAATGCAACAACATATATTGTACGATAGCTGCACACTAGTAGCTCTTTGTGAAAGAACACATCTACCTTGTTCTGATGGATGTATACTAATTACCTTTTTATATATGTACGTGGGAAGCCTGCACCTTTTTATATTTGCCTTTTCTAACTCTCTACAAAATTCAAAGAAAAATAAAAATCAAATATTTTTAGTTTAGGGCAAACGTCTATGAGAATATCTCCTGAGATAAGATCTAATTACGAAAATTCTCATCATGTATGCGTGATTACGAAAAGCCCCATCAGATATGTTGTTTGACGTCTTGCACAGCCCCCCCTTACAACGTTAATCTTGATAGAATCTTTTTGATTCCATGGAATATTCCTCTAACACTAGTATTTACGGACGGAAGTACCCTCAAGGGTCATCGTAAATATATTATTTACTTATGGTGTAAATTGTAATATATTTCTAGAAAAATTATTTCTGAAATTTTATAACATAGTTGTTTTAATATTATAAAATATTATGTATTCTACATTTTAATTATCAAAAGTAAAATATAAAAAAATAATTACATATATTGTAACATTAAAAGTTTTATATTTGTTTTGTAATTTTTTGTTTATATTTTTATAAATTTTTATACAATAATTAAAATTGATTTTGCAAAAAAAAAAAAGAATTTAAATATGAATGAACCATTTAAAAAGAGAAAAAAGATGTTTCATCTTCTTCCCGTCACCCACCCATAATCATAGCAGTTATTGTTACTGGTTGAGGGGGGTAATTGTAATCGCTAACATTCATAATGAGTTTCATAGGAGCAACTCCAATAATGTTATCAAACATGGTATTCAAATCTTTAACCATCATTTGCACACTAAAAAATTCGAAATTTTTAACTCCAATAAGGTTATCAAATGAGAGTTTTATTTTGATAATTCACCTCTTGGGATGTAAATATACTTGCCATATATTGAGTTATAAAAAATGTAACTATCTAAACTTCCAATCACGAGTCGACATCTGGCCACATAAACTTCCAATTGATAATTAATTTAATAACCATGGTTGGAGTAAATTAATTTTAATCAATACTAAAATATTATCTCAAATATCAAATGAATATTTGATAATTCAATTTTGATATTTAAAGAGCAACTCCAATGCTAAACATCAAAATTGAATTATCAAATACTCATTTGATAATTAAGATAATATTTTAACATCCATTAATAGTTTATCTACTCCAACCATGGTTACCAAAAGTAATAATAAATTGGAAGTTTTTTAGTAGTTTTATTTGTAATTGTCACGTGTCATTTTGTGATTGGATGTTTAGGTGGTTATTTTTTTAATAACTCAATTTCCAGGATTTATTTTTACATGCAAAGAAGTAGAATATCAAAATACATACCCATTTTAATACTCCCATTAGAGCAACTTCAACCTACAAATATCAAAATGAATTATCAAAAATTTATTTGATATTTTATATTTTAGTTTGATACCTAAATAAATTTATTTGCTCCAACTATAAATATCAAATAGTTGCTAATTAAAACTAAATAATGTGATTATATATTTTAATTAACACATGTCATTTTCTAATTGGTTATTTAGGTGGTTAAGTTGTGTAACTTCCAATTGATATTATTTCTTCCGGATGTATTTTCACATACAAAAAATTAAAATATCAAAATAGAAACCCATTTGGTAACTCCATTGGAGTGGAAATTTTTTAAATTGAATTATCAAAATGGTAGTTATGGGTTTAGATACCCCATTTAATAACTCCATTGGAGTTGCTCTTAGAATATAAATTTTTAATTTTGGGATATCAAAAAGATGGTTTATGGATTTGATAATCCATTTGATACTCTCATTAAAGTTGCTCTAAGGTTTATATATATACATATATATATATATATATATATATATATATATATATATATATATATATATATATATATATATATATATATATTTCAGATTGCTCAAGGGTAAACTAGAGAACGCAAGTTATTTAGATTACACAATCATACTTAAGTTAGAGGCTTTTTTCCTCTTAATTACACAAACATAAAGGAGATTTTTATAATTAAGTTTTATCTCAAGGGGTTCTTGTAATTTGCCTTTTAATTAAAGCAAAATAAAATTATTGTGCAAATATATCATGAATACTTGAAGATCCAATCTTCCTTCTGCTTTTTCTTGTTTTTTAATCACATTGGTTGGGTAACGAGCATTGTTCACCTCTCTTAACTTCATATAATGATGATTATGCACAAACTCATCATCTGTAACATTATGTTCTTCAACAATATCAAAATCTTTAATTTTTGGAATACACTGAAACAACGTCATTACCATATTTAATAATTAAACTTAGTCCACCAAGTAAACCATTTATGAAAGAATAATTTCTACAGCATTTTTTACTAAGTTTCTAGCTTCTGGTTAAATTTTACTCCGTATTGTGAGTTCATATGTCAAAATCTCACTTCATGTTTCACATACATTGTTTCAGGTTCATGCTTATTTGTACTGGAATTTTCTTTATTGAAATTCACTTTATCCCTTTTTATTTTTTGTTCATCTCTCCTTTATATGCTTCAAATGTATTGAATGCACATTCATTTGTTTGAAGACCAATAAAATATGCTTGCATATTATACAAATAGACTCAAATATGCATGTACAATTTACTTAAGGGATCACGAATTAAAGTCAACCTTTCGTACATG